CTAGTAAGGCACCTGTTACTACTAGCGTGGCACTTGTTACTAGTAGCGTGGCTCTCATAAATAAGTTCTTCCGGTATTCTGTATAGTTCATCCTGTGTCTTCTTCCTTTGTTCCTCCCATCTGCCTTTACACGGAAGTCTCTGTGCGGTCTCTTTGTGTCTGTTGCCTATCATACTATTTTGGTCTTTCTTACATAAAGGTCTGGGTTTCCAGCTCTTTAGGTTGGTCGCGTCGCGAGGGAGGATATGACCCTGAGTGTCATATCCACCCATCCATAATCTTGTGCGCTTCCTATATTCAAAACCATACTTACAATAATCAACATCATAATCATCAAAATCTTTCATAAAGTCCTGTTCCTTCAATAGTCCTGTCTGCGGATTTTCTAGGAAAAATATTCTCGGTTGAAAGTAGTTTATGATTTCAATGGTTTTCCTTACGATACTATTAGCATAATCTATTCTTCTAACTCCCGTGATTTTTGCTCTGCTATATTCAGTGCAAGGAGGCGAAGCCCAAATTATGTCAACATATTTTTCATACTTTTTATAGTCCCATTCTAATATATCTTCATTGATATTAGGGTTCTTCAAAACTAATGATATGACACTAAATCCGAACTCACGGGCAACTCTACCAACACTGCCTGTTCCACTAAAAAACTCCAATAGTTTCACATTAAAACTCTATAGATTCTAATATGCAAGTATCAAACTAAAACACACTTCTCCGTTTCAGTATCCTTAACGATTTGGTAGTATTCAAGCGTCTGCTCTTTAGGTTGAGTGATTTTTCCTTTGTTAATCCATTCCAAGTACACTCCCGAAAACTAACATGGAAGTGGAAAACACCCCGTTTGTAGAGGAAAATGGTCTTCCAAGAGGCCATTCTCCACTTCAATGTTAGTTTGAGGGAGTGTATTGTTTTCTCTTCTCATCCCACGAACCAACGGGTCTTCCTATCTGCTTCTTTTCAAAGATTTTATCAACCCTTTCTTTATCATCCTTCTTCTCCTCCTTTTTAGGTTCAGTGAGTTTCTCCTCAACTTATTACATCTGTTCAGTTTGTTTGTCAGTTCCGACAGTTTATCGGTGTTTTCATCCATATCACTCATATAGTATATACTTATTTATAACTATATGTATATATATATATTAGTTTAGATATTTATTTATCAAATCGCTCCCGTCAAAATCTACTCTTTAAATCTGTTTAATTCATATCCTGTATTGATACTTGTTTTTTGCTACTTCTTGGTGTGTTGATTACATCGCTTATCATCCTGTTCGTGGTTTCTTTGTCCTTGTCTTCTGGTGTAATTTGCCTGTTCCACGAAAAGGATATGCTGTGTGCTTCACTATCCAGTTTGATGTCTCCGTTGTCATCTCTACGGACGTTCATAGTCTTATCGCTCTCTGATATTTTGAAGGAACACCGATTACAACTACATTTTAACCCCTTCGGGTTGATTTCTATTTCATTTTGTAATTGTAGTTTTCCGTGGCATAAGGGACAGTCAAAGGTGATGAATTTGCTTTTGAATTTCTGCTCTTCATCCAGTTGTATCATTGTTGGTTCTTCATCGGACAGTTCAAAATCTTCAGGTATGGGTGTTTTCTTCATATTTGTTTTTCGACGAGGCATCTGTATATTTTATTATATATAGATATAATTAGACAATATGATTGATGTACATATTGTCTAATTAGTGCTGGGGGAAACACTAAAAAAATGCTTGGCAAACTGACTTCAACGTGGCAATTGTCAAACACTGGGGTGGGGCAAGTCCATCGCAAAAACAAGCAACTTAGCGACTTATGTGGATTGAAGCGAACTGTCCCTAAATGGTTTCCTTCAATAGTAATATACACATTATATTTTCTAAATACTTTTAGTATCTTTCAATGATTAATATTAAACCATATAAGCACAAGGAATGCAGCAGTAAGCAGTCTAAGTATGATTATATGGCACCGCTTCCCGCAAGAATTCTTTTGAACGCTCCATCAGGAACGGGCAAGACCGTAGCACTGACAAGTCTGATAATGAACATCTACAAAGACTGTTTTGAAAAGATATACATATTTTCACCCACCGTCTTTATAGATGACACTTGGACGGTTGTAAAGAAACACATTGAAAACGAGATGGATATAAAACACTCCGATGAAGACCCCATCTAGTTTGACAACTTTGAGGAGAAAGACGTAAAGAACATCATAGACACGCAGGACGGGATAATAAAGTATATGAAGGAGAAGGAATACAAACACCTATACAACATCTAAATCGTCGTCAATCAAAATTACACGCCCCATACCTTCATTATGAACATATATTAAACTGTACAATATTATATATATCTGAAATCGGCGTGAAGGATATAGAAACTGAAGAAGCAAAGGAAGAAATCAAAAACGAAGTGGATGAGCAAGAGGGAACACAGAACGAAGAGGCGAACAAAAAGAGAAGAAGAACAACCAAAAGAAGAAGATACACCCAAAGAAGCTCAAGTGATGACCAAAACCGATATGAACAAGTTGAAGCAGAAGAAATATGTCACCAGAAACCAACGGAATGAAACGGTCTATTGCGCCGACTGTAATAAGTATGTCCAAGCACAACTTTCGCTACAATCACCTATGTAAGCCACTTCAGGAGAAGAAACAACAAAAAGCAATGGTGAAGACTGCCATTGATGCGAAGCAGTTGAACGCGGACATTATGAAACAACTAAAGGAAGAACTACAGAACGAGCGCAAGACCGCGAGGGAGAAGTATGCCACAATCAAAGAAGAGAAGCACACCCAAAAGAAGGATAAAGTAAAAGTTCAGCGCCTAAAATTTTGTAAGTAGTAATATATGTTGATTGATAGGCAGAAGATGGAACTGAGCAAAAAGGACATCTACGAGAATGTCAGAAGAGACGTTATGGGGAAGCAGACCCTACACAGCAGTAAAAATATCTCGGGGAGCAACCCCGTAGATACTAACCCGAAGAAGAAAAAAGTATATACTTCCATAGACCACTACTACCACAACGACAACAACTATAAAGTCCTACGAACCAAACAGAGGATAAAGGAGGAGAACGAGATGATGTCAAACGAGATATATACATAGATTAACACAAATAAAGAAAAACCACAGACTGACCGACTACGGGGCAAACGTTGAGGCGATGAGGAACAGGATAAATGAGTATAAACAATGGTTGAGAGGTGGAGAGGAATAATAGTTTATACTAACATGTTTCTCATTATTAATATATACTATTATGGCAACAGCAGTTATAAATGCTAAACAGGGATTGACAAGTGTTCCCACTTATGCGGAGTTGATAAAGGAACTAGACAAAGAAAAGATTAAGACCAACGAAATAAGGAAGGTCTTTGATAGGAACGTTTGGTATTTTCACGACAGTCCGCTCAACACAGCGCCCAACGAGAACAGCAACATTCATCCAGCAGACCTTCAACAGCAGAACTTCAAGCGGATGGCGCAGGAGGCGACCATCACAGAAGACACAGTGTTTCATCGCGTCGATGGTGATGAAATGGAGGAATTGGGAGACGATGCCATAGACCTTTATGAAAAGGGTTTTGAGAAGGAAGCGGAGATGAGAGAAGAGGAAGACAGGACGCGGAACAGGTCAGTTTAAGTCATAAGACAAACTTCCGCGCTATGAATAAAACCATATTAGATAGTGTAGGTTCAACCGACAGTGCTGGAATAGAGGAGGACGAAGCAAAGCAGAGCGTCATTCAATCCTTAAAGGACAAAATCAAACCCACAGGAAAGAAACTACTGAAGGAAGCGGTCAAGGCAGCAACATCACAAGGAGGGGTCGTAGGCGGTCTCATAGCGGACAGACTATTAGACACATCAGGGGAACGGGCAACACAAATTTGTTTTCGCAAAATCGTTAGGTTCAACGGTGGCAAAGAACGTGGCAGACCCCGAGTGACGTTCGACCCACACCATTTCAGGAGGTAGCATTTCAATATATTTCAATGGGGTCACGTTCCAAGATCCTCTAGACTCTAGTTTCTCTTGCAGACCTGTAAAAGGCCATGATAACAGAAACCTCATAAAAAGACATCAGGGCCATCATTCAAAGAAATGCATTACTCCTCCCAAGGTTAATAAAAATATATAAAAATCAAACTTGCCAGTGGCCAACATCATAATCTCAACTTTAAGCACACGCGCAACTCGTCCTTTTCGTTTGTCATGCTGCATGCCAACATGTTGGCAAACAACATATCTGCAAGTTGCATGAGGTGGTGGAGGACCGAGGCCATCGGGTCAAAGCCCTCGAATTCATCGCCTCCTGGCGTGTTCGGTCGCTCCCCAACTCTGAGTTCCTTGCCGTTTATGGGATGACGTGAGTCCGAGTCCGTGGGTTGGGACCCCAAGGCAAAAATATTTGAGACATATCACTTGCAGCTGTCTTTGATTCCCTTCTTTGGGGTCTTTTGGCCACTTACAGTATCTTGAACGGGCAGCGTGCGAGAAGGACGAGTGTTTGCTGGGAATCAATTGTGGTCTTGATTCACTGAGAATTTGGCTGCGCAGCTAAGCTCGGATTTCCGACCAAAACGACTCTTTCCATGTCTTCTCTTGGTCCAAGCTTGTCCAAGGCCCGATTGCCTCGAGGCTTGTCACCAGGCGCGTCAGCACAATAAACTTTGACGTTTCTTCCACGATACCTCGTTGCGGCAAAGCGATTCGAGTGTGAGTCGCAGGATTTCGGTGCAGTTTTCTTCTGTATCCAATGGAATGGAGCACCCGAAAAGATTGATTTCGGAACCGCACCCTATCGCACCCTCATCACAGCTCAAGAAGAGCTGTTTAAAAAGGCTCGAGCCTGGATTGGGCATCGTTCACATGAAAGACACATGGATCAGAAATGATCAGAACCACCAATTCAATCCCTGAACATCAAGGTCGCCAATCGCCTGGCGCTAGCACCCACTCGAGGTTTGCTTTGGCAATGCAGCCGCCACTGGGCGCTTCGAAGGGCCAATTAGGACCTGTCGAGTCGTCAGCGGCAGGCAAGGCCATGAAGGGATAGGCCCGGAACGCTACAAAAGTATAAAACCAGTCTTCCTAAAGAACCTACCAATTTAGTTGAGTTGATACTAGTTTAGCATGGTCTTGGATGCCACACTTACAAGAACGACCAAACAAAGGTGGAACGCAGTACACATTGATGAAGTGCAAAGCGGAGCACATCCCTACGGAACCAAGGCCTACAGGCAGCTGAGCGTTGCAGGTTGAATCAAGCGCCGTCCAAAACAGCAGCATAAATGAGTTCAAAAGACCTGCAAACAGGAGCGTCTGCTTGACCAACCCTGCCAGCTGCATCCAGCTGCTTGTTAACAAGGAATAAACAGTGGCTGCAATGTGTACTCCCCTGTCCGGACCCATGTGATCGAATTTTCATTATTTTCGAATGTTCCCCTGTTCGCTAGCAGCGTGTGATTTTTGGAAGCTTCCAAATAAGAAATCCATGACGCAAGACTCTTCCAGCAAGTCCAGTGAGATCGCACTGTTCCGATTTTTGTGGGGCTGCAGTCATTAGGGCCATCGCTATTAGGTTGAAGACCATCGCGAATAGGTTGGGGATGGTTGGAGGCCATTGCTAAATGGAGCCCATCGCTAGTAGGCTGGAGGCCATCGCTGCTAGGTTGGAGGTATTAGGTTGGAGGCCATCCCTAGTAGGTTGGAGGCCATCGCTATTAGGCGATCGCTCTAAGGTTGGAGGCCATTGCTAGTAGGTTGAAGGCCATCGCTAGTAGGTTGGAGGCCATCGCTAGTAGGTTGGAGGCCATTGCTATTGGGTTGGAGACCATCGCTATTAGGTTGGAGGCCATTGCTAGTAGGTTGGAGGCCATCGATAGTAGGTTGGAGGCCATCGCTAGTAGGTTGGAGGCCATTGCTAGTAGGTCGGAGGCCATCGACAGTAGGTTGGAGACCATCGCTGTTACGTTGGAGGCCATCGCTATTAGGCTCGAGGCGATCGCTCTAACGTTGGAGGCCATTATTGCAAGTAGGTTGGAGGCCATCGCTAGTAGGTTGGCGGCCATTGCTCTTAGGTTGGAGACCATCGCTATTAGGTTGGAGGCCATTGCTAGTAGGTTGGAGGCCATCGCTATTAGGTTGGAGGCCATCGCTAGTAGGTTGGAGGCCATCGCTATAGTAGGTTAACCATTGCTCTTAGGTCTTAGGTTGGAGGCCATCTTGCAGACCATCGCTATTAGGTTGGAGGCCATCGCTAGGTTAGATGAGGCCATCGCTAGTAGGTTGGATAAGGCCATCGCTAGTAGGCATCCCTAGTAGGTTGGAGGCCATCGCTAGTAGGTTGGAGGTCATCGCTAGTAGATTGGAGGCCATTGCTAGTAGGTTGGAGGCCATTGCTCTTGGGTTGGAGACAATCGCTATTGGGTTGGAGTAGGTTGGAGGCCATCGCTAGTAGGTTTGAGGCCATCGCTAGTAGGTTGAAGGCCATCGCTAGTAGGTTGGAGGCCATCGCAAGTAGGTTGGAGGCCATCACTGGTTGGAGGCCATCGCTACGAGGTTGGAAGGCCGTTGCTATTAGGTTGGAGGCCTCTGGCATTAGGCTGGAGGCCATCGCTAATAGGTTCCCTGAGGATCCGATATTGAAAAAAAACAATCTTACCATTGGTCACAAAACTTTTCAATATTATTGAAAATGGTCAACTTGGAAACCAAAAAAACCAATATCATGATCAATATAATATTGGTCATGATATTGGTCGATATTGGTTTCAACTATTGATCATGATATTGATCATGATATTGGTCAATATTGATCGTGGAGATCCTGTGGAGATCTTGTGGAGTTCCTGTGGAGTTTAGAATCCTGTGGAGATCCTGTGGAGTTCAGAATCCTGTGGAGATCCTGTGGAGTTCCTTTTGACATTGATATTGGTCTTGATATTGATCATGATATTGGTCGATATTGATCAACAATTTTTACTATTTTTTCAATCTTCAATATTGAAAAACAATCCTGCGATTGAAAAATATCAAGTTCAATGTAATTGAACTTTTTTTGCGATCTTGATTTTTTCAATATCGGATCCTCAGGGTTGGAGGCCATCGCTAGCAGGATTGAGGCCATTGCTACTATGAGCATCGCTATAAGTTGTGTAAGATATAAATGTAGTTGTGTAAGATATAAGCGAAGTTGCGGAAGTTATCAAGTTGAAGTTACACAGAAGATACTAAGTTCCGCGTATCTTCCGTGGAAGTGATTGGTTTCTTGCGTATATATATGTTTTAGACGTCAGAAGCAAGCGCTCGAGCAGTCTTTTTCAACTAATGCAGGCAACATACATCTGATCCTACAAAACACCACCAAGCAGCAACCGTGATTTCAATTTCAGCTTGTGGTTTCCACCGCCTTTTTTGGCCTGAAGGTTTCCGTCGGCTACCCCATGGGTGGCTTGCCACTTTCTCCATCGTCTGCGAGAGAAAATATAGGCCGCGCGCAGGGCCACAGGCTGCCTGCACAAATTGGCCGCCAAGTTTGTCACTGAGGAGGATCACGTCGCCCGTTTGGACGTTTCTCTTCCGCAGATAGGCCTTGTCTGCGCAGAGTAGTCCGCTGTCTTTGAAGGCAAGCTTGTCTTCTCCCATGGCTTCTTTGACGGGTTTTCCCAGGCCCCACTCGCCTATAAGCCATGTTTCTCACTGCTATCTGCGTTGCGCATGACGAGACGGACAACCATTGCCTTCTGCAGATGATATGAGTCGCCGCAGCAACCTTCCAAGCTATCAATCAAAATCAAACCATGTTTGATCTCTTGGCGCTTCTTTTCTTGAATGCCGCAGTGCGGCAAGAAGCGCGCCTGCTCGCATGCCGCGGAGATGTGAAATCTGTGGTGGTGCTTTGGGCGCACCATGTCGTCGCCCCAAGCCTTCCGGAACAGCTCATGGTGTCTGCTTTGAAGTTGTTTGAGCTTTTGCACCTGTCTGGAATCCAGCGGCGCTACCATGTAGGACAGCCTTCGAAGCTCCGAACAGACCTGCTTTAAGGCAAGTAAGGCAAGGAATGAGTTTCTGGCATCGGCTGCTGCAGACAGGTCGTCGGTGGCAACGTAGTATCCCAGACATGGGTGGCAGGTTGCCCATGTTCCGACGGACCAGCCTCTGAGTCCACTCACAGCCCACACAAAGAAAGCGCGCCCCGCGTGCGCGACCATGGTGTTCCCGACAGCACAGAGCACACGCGTCGCTTCGGGCCCACCTGTGTCTCCATCGCATCCAGGGCTTGTCAAGTGTCTGAACTCCTGGGTGTGGGGTAAGCCGCACACCCTCCCAAATAGTGCCAGGCAACAACTGGGGGAACTTTTCGTACGACTGCATGGCTCTGCGGCCTTTCTGTGGCTCCGCCAAACACATGCTCAAAGTCTTGCTTGGACACCAGATTGAAAGTGTGTTTGGAGCACAAAAGCCACTATAGAAATGCAAAAATATGCAGCTTTCTACATGAAATTGAAAAAGCTGCTTTCAAAGGTTTCTACAGTATATCTTCCGCGTATGCGCCGTCTAACTTTCACAACTTAAGTTAGGATAAGTTGAGTTGAACGTATACGTTGAAGTTGAACTTATAACTTTCCACAAGTTCCGGAAGAAGTTGTGGAAGTTGCGGAACTTGTAAGTACAGTTATATATACTCCGTAAGTGTACTTATAAATATACTTACAAGTTCCACAACTTTTAACGATGCTCAGAGTATTAGGTTGGAGGCCATTGCTATTAGTTTCGTGGCCATCGCTATTAGGTTGGAGGCCATCGCTAGTAGGTTGGAGGTTTCTGAATCGGCAAATGTCCGTTTGGGTTTGGGGCCATCGCTATTAGGTTGGAGGCCATCGCTAGTAGGTTGGACGCCATTGCCATTAAGTTGGAGGCCATTGCTATTACAGTATGTAGGTTGGAGGCCATCGCTGTCAGTTCCTGCAATACATTTTGGCTACAGTGTAAAATCTACGCTGCAGCAATGCCAAAGATACCTTGCGTGATTTGATGACCCCCACCATGCTGTTCATCTGAAGTCAAGGGAGCCTGTGCCCTGATTGTTTCTTCTGGTTTTGAAACTGAAGTGTGTGTGTGCCCCTTGTAGTCACAGGGATTCAGTTGA